CTTGCTTTCTATAAATGTGTCACGCTGCCTTCTGCAGCCCTTCACCCAGCTCCCTGCACCTGTGTCACCCTGCTCCCTACAGCCCTCACTCTGCAGTGACAGACTGAACTTTGTTCAGACTGCTAGAGCCCTGTGATTTATTGCGTCACTGATGATAGGCAGAGACTAATGCCTCGAATGAAAGAGAGAAGGGCAAAGGCTGATAAGAAGCAGATCCTGTGAAGGCAGGGTAATGTTTTTTATCATGCCAATTCCCTCCCTTCCAACGACTCCCGACTGGCACAAGAAAGCATTTGGGAGAAATGGGGCCAAACTGTGGCCATGGCATTAGAAGGGGACATAAACCATCACATCCCCAGTATTGCATCAGACAGTGTAAAACCCTCCCTGGGGTAGGTACCAGGGCATTGGCTCGTGAGCCCCCTACCTCCCTGTCACATCCCACTCCCTACACCACATGAGTATCACCCCTCTGGCAGCTGCTGCCTGATGGCAGTGGGAGGCTGCCACCACCCCCCAAAATTCATCCTACCCTGACCCAACCCCCCACTCTGGGAGCTTCTGAACCCTGAACTGAACCCCAGGAGCTGCTCCAGGACAGCACAGCCACACAGGAAAAGACTGGGACCTGTGGTGGCTGCAGGAACCCCTTCCCTGGCTGGGAATTGAGCCCAGGCCACAGCAGTGAGAGTGCCAAAACCTGACCTCTAGAGCACCAGAGATGAGTAGTGACCACCAGGGATGAGTAGTGACCACCAGCGAGGAGTGGTGAGCACCAGTGTAGAGTGGCCAACACCAGAATGAGCTGCTGCTGGCATCAACCAAGCCCTGAAGGGAACGGGATGCTTGCTCCCCACAGTTCAAGGAGAGGACCAGAGAGGATGGATGCCACAGCCTTTCTGGGGGAATTGGCAGGGATGCCTGTGGCATTGGGAAATCCCTCTGTGCACGGACACCCCACCTCTGTAGGCCAGGGAAGCAGGAGATGGTAGTGCCATGACTCTGACCACCACTGAAGGCAGGTTTGGGGAAGGCAGTGAAAGCAAATGGTTCAGGAAAAGGTGTAGTATCCTCTGGAGGTTCACCAGGGAAGTTTTCCTGCTGCTGCTGGATCATGCTCCGTCTGGGGCTGCTGTGCACTGCCAGGCTCGTGTGACCCACACCACACTGGGCACAGTGTCATGGACACAACACTGACCCCAGTGCACAGCCCGAGCTGCCCCAGAGTCACCTGGGGAGAACAGAAGTGCAGGTACAGGCTGACTGTCAGCAGAGCCTTTCCTGGGCAAGAGAAATTGAACTGAGCCCTGGTGCTGGGCAGGGAGTGTGTCTGGAGCCCTATTCCTGCTAGTTTTATAGTAACCTGGTCATCTTGTTTATGAGAAAACAGCTGGCTGGGGCCAGCTTTTGGAACCTAATCTGGAGCTGTGAAGAGCAGGTAACCAGTAGGTGATCCTCTTTTACAGAGAGTCCCTAGGGGGAGTAGACACTTCTGTCTCCCTTTGCCTCACAGAAGGGGAACAAAAAGCGGCTTCCTGATGAACAGGGAGATGGAGAGGGGATGGAAATGGTCCCCCCACTCCCCAAGGATTTGCTACCAGCATGGGCAGCAAGACAGGGCAATGCAGAGCTGCAGACCCCTGCCCAGGACAAAAAGCACATGGTCTCAAGGGGTCAGTACAAGTGTCACCTGTGCCTGCAGCTCCCAGCACAGGGAGCTTCTGATTCAAGGGGAAGGAGCACTGACACAGAGGATGGAGCTCCTGTGCAGGGAGGAGACCCCAAGAGGGGAGCACGGGGCTGTCTCCAGGGCTCCTCAGCAGATGGATGACCCGTGGCTGAGGTGGAGGTGGGTGGAAGGGCTCCAGGAACACTTCCCATAGAGGATGGCAGAGCACCCGGTGCTCCTTGGATGTGGTTGGGAGGAGAAGTAAATGGACAGAGAGAAAACCTCCCTGGTTTTCAGGGATCGAGGCACACAGATGGCAGAAACCTCTCTGTGCTTTGTCTTGTCCCATGCAGCTCCAAAAAGCGGTCAGAGCAGCTCCCATCTCCATTTGGCGATTGCCCGTTGAGGCCAAACCCTCCCATGGTCCCCCTCTGCAGCCCCTCCATGACCTGGTCAGGTCCCAGTGGGACTTTGGGCATCCCCCACCCCCCGGGTCCCTGTGGTGCCACCATCTCTTCCCAGGTTCCTCTGCAGTGGAATCCTGGTGGATCCCAGCTCCTGCCTTTGCCAACACCTTTCCTTGGGGAGCTGCCCTGTAAGGAGAAGGCAAAGGAAGGCAGCTTTGGGGAATGTGGCCTGGAGAAAGGATGGAGCTACAACAAATGATCTGGCATCTTTCCAAACCTCTGGCATCTCTGCTGTGAGGGCCAGGGCTGCAGAATGCACCTTCAAAAACCCTGAACAGGGCAAAGCCCCCAAGCGAGGGGCAAGGCTGGGCCGTGTGATGATCCTACAGGATTGCGCCAGTCCTTGGGCATGTCTGGGACAGGGAAGGGGGAGGCTATGCAGGGCTGAGGAGAAGTCACCCCGTGCTGTGAGAGCAATAATCAAATGTCATGGTTTCGGTTGCCTTTACCAGCCATGACAGAGCATGAGCTCTGGCTGCCTTGCGGTTGGGGGAGCATCAGAATCTTTCTGTGGTTTTTGAGATCTTAATCTGGCCCTGTCACATATTATGTCACAGGCAGTAACAGTTCCTTCATCTGCCAGCAGATCTGGGAACACCAAACAGGTTCATTTGTATGTCCCAAGGCAGGACAGTCTCCATCTCTGCCGCTCACCACAGGCGACTGGGAGGTGACACAGCACGGCAGCTGCTTTTTGGAGCTCTTTGTAGGGCCATGTGACAAGGCAGGTGGGGGACATAAAAATAGACTTTTTCTAGAGGCACTGCTCCTTGGAAAGAGAAATCCCAGCGCCAGGATCAGCCTTGGGGCAGTGGGGATGGGGCTCAGCACAAAACACCGTTGTTGCTATTGTGCTGAGAAGATGAGGATGAGTCCCACTGCCTTACTTTACACCCTACATGGATCTGGGGCATAACCAATGCTCACATCAATTAGCCAGACCAACAGACTAATCACAATTCTGGAGTACAATATGGCAATAGCAGTAAATAATCCGTCTCCCCATCTCTGACAGGGAGTGTCCCTTGGCAAATTCCAGCTGAGGTTTTGTCCTTTGCAAAGCCTGAATACCTGCAGCACATCGCTGTGCTGCTCCAGAATGCCACCACTATGTGTCTGTGACAACCCCATTCTAGCAGCCACTTGGTTCAGCTCCAGCTCCTGCTCATGAAGAGTCCTCAGGGTCCTCAGGACACCACCTGGATGCCTCCTGGGAGGATGATTTGGAAAAACCATGGGCTCCTGCCCACCCCAGCCATGTCCCTGGCACAGCCCTGGAGACCCTCCTGCAGCCTTGGTCCCCATGGATGGGGACATCGTAGTGGAGGGTACACTGGGAAGGTTCTGAGTGCCCTCACAAACCCACGAGGCCAGTGGAGGAGAAGGAGAGTAGCAGCAGAGCAGCTCTTCTCTGCAGCAGCCCTGCAGCAGCACTGGGCCGAGGGTCAGTGAGGAAATCTGGGAAACACGAACTCGTGGCACCTTGTGAGCAGCAGCTGGGCTGGAAAACACCCAGAGGAACCACAGGGTGTGAGCTGGCAAAACAGGGGCCGGTCACTGAAGAATCGTGTTTCCTGGGCTGTCGGGGTCCATTCCTGCTAGAACAGACCCTTGCCCACACGATACTTCATAGACAAAGGTAAAAGATTGGGAAGCGCTCTCCTCCATGTGGGAAATGTTGTCCTTTATTCCAGGACATACATCAGGAGGACAAACCCATGGGAGAAAGAGAGCGTTCCCTGGCAGCAGGGAGCTTTTATACCCCCCGGGATGGGGACAGAGGGAGAGGTCCACAGCCAGTGGGACACCAGGGAGGAGTGGCTGGGGGAGGGGTGACCCAGGGGAGAGACCACCAGGGGAGAGACCACCAGGGGTACCTGGACAGGTGGGGGACAGACCATGTGATGGGGAACGGGGTAACAAACCACATGATGCAACATAAGCTATACAGTGCAATACAAAACTATTCTGTGCAAATTCCCAATCACCCAGCGCAAGATAACAACTAAACCGGTGCACCACAACAGGTCACAAAGTAGAGAGGTGGAAAAAGGGGAAATGCTCCCTGGCACCATGACTGTCCGTGACTGTAGAGGGGCACCGGGGATTGGAGTCTCTTGGCCCCTCTCAGCTCCCTGGGCTGGGGAGGCTCCTGCTCTGCCCTCTGCATCCCACCTTGAACCAAACCCACTTGCACTTGGAGAAGATGCTCTTTGTAGAGTTAGCCCATCCAGGCAGGATTCCCAGTCAAGCCCAGCCCCTACTGGGATTGTTGGGAGGGGTTTTGAGGGCACAACCCCACACTGGAAGCACAGCACTGAGAATTTTTTGCTTGATGGTGCCAAGGCTGCCAGCCTGGATCTACAGCCAGTCTCCAGACTGAGTGTTCCTGCTGCCCGTGCTGCCCTCACTTGAGCCCCTGTATCCACCCTGGACATTTCCCAGACCCACCACTGGAGAAGGGACCCCTTAGCAGGACCTGCGCCTTCCATTTGAGGTTCTGAGCACTGCTGACCCCCAGAACTGGTTCCTCGGAGACGAGACTGAGCTGGGTCCTCCTGGTGCTTTGGTGGGGATGCTGAGGTGACTCTGATAAGCAGAATTGTTTTGGATGATGCAAATGTGAACCTGCTGCTCAAGGATGGTTTCATATCCTGTCTTGGTCACTGGAGGCTGATTTGCTCACGCTTACCTCCCTTCACACAAAGGCTATTCTGCTACTTCCTCAACCAGCTGTTTCTTTTTCTTTTTTTATTTTTCAGTATTTCTGAGGCAAAGGTGCCATGACATCAGCTCAATTGTGTTTTGGAAATTCCACGTTTGCCTTCAAATCTGACTGACTGGCCACTGTCCCTATAAAAAGCAAGGACTGAGCCAGCACCTCACAAAAGGCACAGGAGAAACCTGCTCTGATCCTGCCTCTGCTTATCCCTGTCCAGGATGAACATCTCCACACTCTGCCTCTCCATCATCCTGGTTGCTGACCTCTTTTCTCAGGCCCTTCCTGCTCCATGTGAGTACAGCATCCCTCTGTTCTGCTGGGTTGGACTTTTGCTCTGACTGCCTGTAATTTGGAGCAGAACTCACAAAAGTAATCTGCCAATGCTGGAAACCTGTTTGAATAACTTCTTCTGATTTATTTGGACTGGTCTTCTTTTCTAATATCCTTTTACCTTAGGGATGAATTTTACTGGTATCAAAGTTTTCAGGTTTCCTCTCCCCTCATTTTCTTGCTGGCCCTTAGGAGTGGACACAGGGTAACAATAGAGATTTTTACCCCGGATATTAGTGTAAAACATTTAACAAACAATCCTAGCAATATTTTTAATCAAGCTTCTGTGTTCACAGCAATTTCTTCCCAATTTTTAGGGAAAACAGGAGGAGAAGGGATGGTTCAGCTGATTAAGGAGGTGGTTGCCTGTGCTCTCAGCCAGGAATGTACAATTTATTGAGTAATGGTCTCAGGCTGGGTTTCCTGATCTCTTCCAGTGGGGTCTGACATGGCTTTATGCTGCTTCAGCTACATCTCACGAAAGCTGCCTCAGAGTCATGTGCAGGAGTATTTCTACACCAGCAGCAAGTGCTCCCAGCCAGCAGTTGTGTAAGTACCAGCTCTGGGCCCTGAGGGAACACTCTGCCAGCCTTTGGGCTCCTGGCTTCACATCTAACAGGGCCAGGAGCAGGATGCTGTGAGGCATCATACCTGGGGGAAGGGAACAGCCACGCAGGTTCCATGTGCAGTGTGTAAGCCCTCACCCTCCTCAGGTGAGAAATAAGTGGTCCCTTGGTCTCCTTGGACTGTCCTGATGCTGGGAATAAGGCATGGGAAGGAGGTCAGGAGGCAGCAGGGCCTTCCAGCGCTTGATGAACTTAATCCACACAACATTCCACACTGCACCCAGGCTCACCTCTGCCATAGGACAAGGAGACAAACATCTGAGCACGGCAGGCTCTCCCAAGGAACCCTGATCTCCCCCTGGGCTTTAGCACACTCTGCAGCTCCAGGGTGCTTGAGGGTTTGTGGGAGGTGACCCAATAACATGACCCCAGTCCCTCACGCCCCTTTTTCCCCCTGGGACTGTAACCCCTGAACTCATGACTTGCCAGGTTTGTGACCAGGAAGAAGCGGGAGGTCTGTGCTAACCCTGCTGCCAGGTGGGTGAAGGAATATGTGAACAGCCTGGAGCTGCAGTGAACACTGGAAGCTGAGAAGTTCTGCCAGACCACCTGTGAGAGCTTGGCACAGACCTAGAAATGCTACTGCCAAGCACCAGGACCTGCTGAGCCACCTTGGGACCCTGGAAGTTTGTTTTGCCTTGCAAAGGTGTCATTTATCCACAATAATTCAGCTACACTTAGGGCAGATGTGATGCTGAAGACCTCCCGGCCTTGCAGACCCATCTTGGGGTGCCCTGCTATGTGATGTGGCTAAATTGAGCCCCACCTTGTGCTTCCACTGCTAGAATGGGAGGGGGATTTCAGCCCAGAGCTATCTGTGGGTTGGAATTAGGTCTGAGTGCTGTTTTATAAGCCCAGGATGAGTTTTCCCCCTGAATTTTGTAACGGTGCAGTAGATGCTGTGAGTAAGATCTGTCCCTAGAGAAGAAGTGGTACCCTAGTTACTTACAGGATGCTTGTTGGAGAGCCACAGTGTTTAGCCTTATTCTCAAACTGCTGTTTTGTGCTGGTGCCAACGAATAAAGCTGTTTTCTCTCTGTGTCATCACTGGTTGTTCCCCTCCTGTTTGGAAAATGGGGATCCCACTACAACTATTTTCGGAGATGTAGGGGAAAAACCCAACTTCTCAGCTGGAAACGCCCTAGCCTTCTTAGGTCTAAAAGCCTTCCCTTCTGCTTGGCCTCCCTGATCTCAGCACCACAGCAGCCCCAGCACCTCCCAGTCCCTGTGCTGATGGGGAGCCAGGACTTCTTCCCAGCCCTTTCTCTCATCATATCATAGCCAAGGCTGGGAGCTAGTGGAGCTTTGCCACTGCAGATTTGGCAAAGGAATGCCTGGAAATCTCAGGGTGGGGATTCAGGGGTGTCCTTGTGGTGAGAGAAAAGGGGGATTGCCAGGACTACATCCCTGGTGCAGGCTCCTTTGGAATGCAGCCTGAGCCAGGCTTAGCTCTTGGGATGCTCTGTTAGTGTTTATTGCAAGACAAGTGCCAATTCACTGTTGTTCTGCAGCTTCCTGGGGCAGGAAACAAGACTTCTGTTTAAAAAAGCACAAAGTAAAACCAACAAAGCACTTTATCACCCTGTGGTTGACATTTAAAACTGGCTGATAACTTTGTGGGTAGAAAATGAGACTGCTGGTCCCACCTCCCTGCTGGAGCTCTACAGGGGATGCGAACAATTCAGGCTGTGTCTGTCAGAGCTGGTTATTAGGGCCAAGAAAACCAGTGTGACACAAACTGCCCCAAGGCCCATTGGTGCCACAGAGGTCTGCAGATGCTCAGGTTGTCTCCTGACCTCCCCTTGCTCATCATCACCTCTTCCCAGGGCACGGGTGGAGTCTCCCTCCCTGGAGACATTTAACAGATGCATGGATGTGGCACTTGGGGACATGGGTTAGGGGCGGTCTTGGCAGTGCTGGGGGAATGGCTGGAGCCACCATCCTAGAGGTCTTTTCCACCTCAGTGATTCTATGGTTCTGGGTGGGTGGACTCACCTGGAGGAGAGCAGGATTGGGAAAGAAAAGCAGAAACAAGGAAAGAAACAAGGCTCAAGCAGAGAGACCTTCATGTTGCCACCAGGGCTTAGGCAGATATACAGACCATGTTTGTGCTTAACCTGATCCATCCAGCCTCCACTTTCCACAGGATATCACCAGTGATGGGATGTATAAATGGGTGGGTTTAGGAGAAAGGATTCTTGGATTAAGTGGCCAGTGCAAGTTGAAAAGACAGAAATGTAAGAGGCTGAGGTGTGAGGCCATAATCAAACCTTCAGTTCTCCAGGAGTGGCAGTGAGAGGCCATGCCAGGACGTTCATTATGGGGTTAGGAGCAGTGACCAGCAGGGAGAAAATGTGGACACTGGGACTGAGGGTCTCCATGGCGCCTCTCTCCTCCCAGGGCTTCTTCAAGTGAAGCTGGGAGAGAGGGAACAGCCACAGAGTTCATATTCTCAAAAAGACCAGAGAAAACCAGGCTATCCAGTGTTTTGCCCATGGAACCATAAAGGTCTTCTGATCTCCTGACGCCTTCTGCCACTGCAGGCAGGGAAGGAAACGTTCCCTATGTCCAGCAACTGGAAACTGAAACCAGAAAGGCTTGAGAGGGAAATTCCCACAAGTGCCTGGGCACACAGCCAGGGACTGTCCTGAGGGGAGGCAGCTGCAGCACTGGATGATCCAGTTTCACCAGCCTGTCCCTGCATCCTGGGCATGGGATAAACCACAGTACTCCCCTCACTTCCTTTTCTCCAAAACATCCAAGCTCCATCACCTCTCAGCTCAGAGTCCCAGAGCAGGGACAATTTGGGGGTCCCGTAGTTCCTCTGCAGTGCCAAACTTAGGGTTGGGATGTCCTCGGGGTAGAGGAGACATCCAGCAGCCCATTCTTGGGATCTTCACCTGCTCCTGTACATCCACCGACCACTCTGCTCCATGGTTTCACAGCACAGTGAGGTGGCCACACTCAGGATACACCCCCTGCAGATTTTCATCTCTCCATGTATGGCCACAGCACCATCTCCTGGGACACAGAATGGTGCTGGGCTGGGCTGCTCTTGGCTGGGATGCTGCTCCTTGGTGTTTATGACCTTTTTGACTACAGTCAGCTTTCCTGCCCAGAAAACACAAGACTAGAGAGAAATCACAAGACAATACAGAAATTCTTTCCCAGCCTCAGAGTTGCCAAATCTGACCTATAGCTGCTGGGGGAAAAAAAATAAACACTAAGAGAACTAAGAGAAAGCTTTTTTGTTTTTTTGCTTTAGGAAGAACAGGACATGGACAAGGCTAGGCCAGCTCTGGACTGTGGTGAGGGGGCACTTGAAGGGGGTCTGTAAGTGTCTTGGTTTGGAAAGACAGGTGTCTGCTAAGGAAGGCAGGAGCCCCCCCTAAAATGGAAAATGCAAACCCCCTCCCTCCAAATTGTTATAAATTTGAAATTAAGGGGTCTCTCAGGCAAAAAAAAAAAAAAAAAAAAAAAAAAAAAAAAAAAAGGGGAGCAGGAATAACAGTTCTTTACTAGGGAAGAAAATAAAAAGATAAAGTAAACAATGCAGTAAATCAAAACAACACTGACAGAGTCAGAACACAACCTGACACCCTGTGGGTCAGGGTGCTGGCAGCATCCAATTGGAATGGTGGCTGCAGCCCTCCTGCAGTGCCAGGTGTGGTTCTGCTGGAGCAGGGATCCTGGAGAAAAGGTGGAGTCTTCTTCTGAAGATCCAGTGGAAGAAGCAGCTGCTGTTCCTCGGGGAAATCCAGTGGAGAAGCCGTGCTGGTGTTCCAGAATCTCAGATTATATTATTATATAATAATATTATATCCTGGAAGGAATGTTTGGCTCGTCCCTCTGGGCTCACATCTCCCAGTGGATGCTGTAGCTCTTACCAGCCATGCAGTGGCATTCAATAGGCTGTTATCAGCAGGTGTCCCCTGGAGGGAGGAGTGGGAGTGGAAGAGATAAGGAAAACTGCCCAATGAACAGAAGATGACAGCCATACAGATGGCAAATAGAATACAATTTCCTTGGCAATCCAGGACAGCAAGAAAGATGGGAACAAAAGTTTTAGCAGGGCCTGTTGCTGTAGGTCAAAAGGGAATGGTATTACACTGAAGGAGGTCAGTTTAGAATTGACATTGGGAAGAAATTCTTCCTGTGAGAGTGGTGAGGCCCTGGCACAGGTTGCCCAAAGATGCTATGGCTGCCCCATCCCTGGAAGTGTCCAAGGCCAGGACAGGGGTCCAGTAGAAGGTGTCCCTGCCCACAGCAGGGGTGGAATGAGATGAGCTTTAAGTTCCTTTACAACCCAAATCCTTTTGGGATTTCTTCACAGAGTGCGGATGTCAAAGAACCCTGGGCATGATCTCCATGGACAAGGTGTGCCCAGCACTGTGCCTTTGGGACCTGCTCCTTCCCATTCATGTTCCCATGGAAAGCTGCATCCTGAGAACAACTGCAGCAAGTTTTCTGCTGGTTGTTTTACCCCTACAGCAAGAGCTGGCCCTTGTTCTACAGGTGGGAAAGTGAGGAACAACCCCCATTAGGGTGTTCAGAATGAAAGATGGGGTCCCTGTCCCTCTCCAGCACTGCTGGATTCAACATGACATCGCACACCCAAGGATCAGTTTGATGTGGGGTGTGTGGGACTGGGAGCAGCAAATGTGTGGGACGTGCCTGGGAGTGTGGAGAGCAGACTCATGAATGTAAAAGTCCCCCATGTGGGTAGAAACACTTCTAATTCTGTAGAGGATGTGGGGACTGGGGGGTGTGTGCTGTGGGGGAATGAGGTTTTGGAGGATGTTTCTGAGTCTGCAGTATGGAAACTTTATGGGTTTGCCTGAAACCATTTTCCATCTTCATGTGTCCTACAGAGGTTCAGATGGCTCAGAGGGATGTTCTGTGTGCGGTGAGCACCACACAGAGGCACGTAAATGGGAAAAAGCAAAGGTTTTCTCCAGATTCTTTATTCTCCAGAATGAAGAGTTGACGTGTATAAACCAGAGTCTCCTGTCATCCAACATTGGGTCACCCTCCTAGAAATACCCTCCCTGTCACCCCCCTATAAATAATATCATCATCCACCAAAAAAAAGGACTGACTGCCCCATATGATCATTTCTTAAATAACTTCAAATAATACAAGAGCGAAGGTGCAGTCCCATGGGCCTGCACCCATGGGATAGAGGGATGGGGCAGAGGGATGAGGCTGAAGCCTGGTCTGTGCAAGTCAAGGATGAGCAGCAGCCCTGAGCACAAGGTGCCCTTCCAGCAGTCCCTTGGGGACACCTGCAGATGCTCCTGTGGCTCCTGTTGTCCCAGGGTCCCACTCCACGGAGGGAGCTCCGGATAACGTGACTTGTCCATGACAGCAGCTACTCTTGCCACACTGCATGGGTCAGTTCTGCTCCAAAATTTTCAGGTAGCTTTGGACCCAGGTGTTTTCAGGATTGGCACAGACCTGGCGGCCTTCCTTTGTGACAAACCTATGGAACGGGGAGGGGACCTGTTAGATCTCTGCTCACACCTGCTTCCCAGGAGAGCCTGGATCCCAGCTCTGAGCATTGCAAGAAGTTTTCCCCTGTGCAGATGTGGAAAGCAGCAGCTGGCTGTGATGCTCCCCACTCCCATCTCTTCCCCTACACTGCTTCCTCCACTCCTGCAGGAGCATCCCTGGGAATCCCCATACGAGCATCCCCAGCAATCCCTGTGCGAGCCCTTTCTCCTCGGTATTCCCCTCTCCCTGCTCTGTTACTACAGCCCCACTTGCTGTGCAGAGCTGGTCACTCACCCACCCCCCCCATGGCTGTCCCATGCGCTGGCACTCACACGATGGCCGGCCGAGGACAGCTGCTGCTGGTCATGTAATGGCGCTGGATGAGCTTCCACGGGAGTTTGTGCCGGCTGTATGTGACACAGCAGGTTGGGATGTCGAGTCCAGCTAGAACAGGAAAAGGAAGACAATGTGAGCACCGGGACCTGTGCTGGCAGGGAAGGTAGTGAGAAGGTAGAGAATAATTAAGGTTGAAATGGACATTGAGGACCATCTGGTCAAATGCCCCAAGCAGTATCAAGCTACTGTGAGATTCTCACTCTGCCATTGCTCCGAGCTTCACTTCCCCAGCTCCTCCAGCCCCAGAGCAGAGGTGGAAGTCTCTCAGCTCTAACCAGGAATAAGTACTTTGAGCCCAGATTGGATGGGTGGGTGGATGGATGCATGGAGGATGGATGGATGGATGGATGGATGGATGGATGGATGGATGGACGGATAAATGGATGATTTTCTGATTCCAGGGCTCCTACATGCCGCTCATCTCTGGGCAGAGAGGAGAATGGCACAAATGCTGATAAATTCCCAGTTATCTGTCATGGGAGCTCAATGGAGAAATAATATGGAAGGTTCAGCTCTGTTCTCCCTTCACAAATGAAAAAGCAGGACTCACCTGGGCCACAGAAAGTTTGGGAGAAGGAGGCTGAAATGAGGAGAAGAGCCAATCCAGCTGCAGAGACCTTCATCTTTCCGTCAGGTGAGGCTGTCAGAGCAGGAGCCAAAGCTCTGGAAGATGCAGCTCAGTGTGCAACAGCTGGATTCAGCCCTCTTTTAAAAGGGAGTCCTAGAGGCAGCTGGGAGTAGCCGAAATGGAAATTCCAAGATGATGATAAAGGATGACATGAAAGTGAAATAGCTGAAGGGAATTAGAGGGAATAGAAAAAACTGAGGTAGAATGGAATATGGTCCCTCACAATGCCAAGTGACTCAGCACTCATTTTTGCTTTATTCAAATCAAAAGGAAACTAAAATGTGCCAAGTGGCCAGGCCACAGAAAGGACAATGCTCCCGCTGGACTCCAGAGGGGGATTTCCCTATCAGACTGTGTAGGGAAAGGCAATGTTTGTGTAGGATTATGCAGCTCTGGAAAAAACCCCAACAGGCAGCACAGAAGTGCTCTCGTGCTGTTGTGTGCTGGATGTTTGCCAGAGACTGCTCAGCTGCTGCCCCGAGCTCAGGGCTAGCTGCACTGAGGGCTCCGTGCCACCCAAAACACCCAGCCTGCCCTCCCCACACCCACAGGGCTGGCAAGGAGTTGAGGCTGGAATTCATCCAGCCCAGTCCCTGGAGATGCTGCCCAGGACCATGTCCAGGTGGGCTGTGAGACTCCCACAGCCTATCTGGACAGCCTGTTTCAGAGTGCAATAAAGTTTTATCTGGTGTTTAAATATAATTTCTTGTTGCCTCTTGTCCTGTTAGTGGTCACCACTGAGAGTTGGGCTGCATCTACTTTGCTCCACAAACGTTGGTAAGAATCCTCTGAGCCCCCTCCATCCTGAACTGTACCAGCATCTCCTCCCTGGAAAAATGTTCTTATCTCTTCATCATCTTTACGGCCCTTTGCGGGACTGTCTCAGTATGCCCATACATCTATAATCCTGGGGAGCTCAGAACTGAGCCCAGCACTTGAGGAACAGCCACACCGATGCTGAGCAGAGGGGAAGGGTCCCCTCCTTCAACCTGCTGTCAGTGTTCCTCCTCATGCAGCCCAAGAGCCTGATGGAATTTTGGTGGCAAGGGCACATTACTGCTCATGTCCAGTCTGGTGTCCACCAGGAGCTCCAGGTCCTTTTTTGCCAAACTGCTTTCCAGCTGGTCAGCACTGCCATATACTGGTGCCTGGGGATGTTCCTTCACAGGGTCAGGACTTTGCACTTCTTTTTGAGCTTCATGAGGTTCTCCATCCTGATGAGGTCTCCATGGATTTCACACAGGCCAAAAGTGATAAGACAAGGGGGAACAGCTTTAAACTAAAAAAAAGGCAGATTAAATATCAGCAAGAAATTCTTCTTTGTGAGCGTAGTCAGGCCCTGGAGCACCTTGCTTTCAGGGGGAAGCTGTGGCTGCCCCCTCCCTGGAAGTGTCCAAGACCAAGTTGAACAGGGCTTGGAGCAGCCTGGGGTAGTGGAAAGTGCCCTTGCCCATGGCAGGGGGGACAGACCTGGGGGTGTTTTAAGGTCTCTTTGATCCCAGTACATTCCATTATTCTACAATGGCAGCATGTCCCCCTAATGTGACAAGCCATCCTCCCAACTTTGTGTCACCTTCCAGCTCACTGAGGGTGACCTTTGTCCCATCAGCAAGGACATCAACATATTAAGGACTACCCAGTATCGATCCCTGGGTTTTCCCGCTGCTGACTGGCCTCTAGCTGGACTTTGTGCAAGAGATCACAACCCTCCAAGCACCGTGTCCAGCCCATTCTCAGCCTCTCTCGCTGCTGTTTCACTAATCCACCTTCACCACTTTGCCCGCAGCAGTCACGGGCATCGCAAAGGGCAGGACTTCACCTGGGAGCAGGCAGTTCACTAGTAGAAGGGGTTTGCCACACCTGAGACATTTTGCCAGCCTCAGCCACTCCCTCCAAGAGATGCCTTGGGTAGAAGATGGGTTTTCTGGCTAAAGAGGTGAGATGAAAGTGGGGGACACCCTGCCTGACGTGGGACACACCAAGCCTCAGCAGGCCAACTCAGGGCAGCTCCTTAGGGAGCAGGAAGAGGGATGACCTGGGCTTCCTGATGTCCTCTCACATTCTGGGCACGCAGTCAAAGATCCCTCCACTGCAGAGAGGCTGCTCAGGCCCCTGGTTATGTTCCTGAGCCTGGATTTTCTCTCTCAGAATCCTAAACCCCCTGTTTGGCTACCCTGGAGATGCACATGAGAGCAATGTCAATGACAGCAATGGCACTGTACTTCAGCTGCTGGCTTGTCCCTGGCAGGGACTGAAAGGAGAAGTTTGGAGGCTCCTTAGACTGGTCTGCCTCTTCCTACACTTATCCCATGGGGAGGGTTTGTTTTGCATTCCTTCTTTCCCTCATGGTCTTGTCCTGACTTACATCCCTGGCTGTGGCACATCCTCATCTGGGCAGAGACCTCACCAGAGTGTCCAAGGGTGTGCTTTTACAGGGAGCAAAGTCTCTGTAAGTCCTGACAAGGATAGCAGGGAAGGTGGTGGATTTTGCCAGAAGCAAGTCTGGCAGGATCAGGTCTTTGTTCCCTTGGTAAGTCTGATCAGCTCAGCCCAGAACAAGAAGTGGCTCCAGCTTGTGGCTGAATTGCTGCTGAAAAAAAACCAAATTATGGCTTTTTGCCACGGAAATAATTCATTCAGAAACCAACAGTGGGAGTTTTATGTTCCTCTGTTCTGGTAACTCACATTCAAGTGTGACAAATGCCAGCGCTGAATGGAGCAGTGACAAAGGCTTTGGCTGCAGAAAGGCACCCTGTGGCTGGCACCAGCAGGTGACAGCTTTGCTCATGGGAACTTCGCACCTTCTGCTCACCAGCTGCTGCCTGCAAGGCACAAACCATGAGGCTGATCATGTGCATGGGGCACAGGGGATGTGGGGAGGTGTGGAGGCTGTGATGGGATCTGCAGCTCTGTCTTTCACCTGGAAGCTCTGAGATGGTCAGTGTGAGGAAAGAAAGCATAACTGAATGTGAGGAGGTGAAGGAGGAGGAGGAGGTGCTGAAAAAGCTGCTGCAGCTGCAGCCCCTTGGTTATGTCACCAGTGGGTGCCCTCGGAGCTGCTTTGTCAGCTGGAACTTTGCTTCCCCCAGAATGCCGGGAAGCCTCCTGGACAAGGGGGACAAGGGGGACAAGGGGGGACAGCTCCTCCCTGCCCGCAGGGCTCTCGCTTTGAGTCACCGGCGGCCGCTCCTGGAGCTCTGCACGGCGATCCCAAACGAGTCACCCTTGCGGACCTCTGCTTCCAGTTTCTGGTTTCGGTTTTCTACTTCTGTCCACTGGTTTTCGCTTCTCTGGCAAATCCCAGAGCCCTCTGCTATTGCAGTTCCTGCAGTTTAAGGGTTTATTAGCTGACCCCTCCCAAGCTTCCTTTATTATTCCTGGAAAAAAGCCATTCTTTACCACTTTAGCCTCACTCGACTGGGGTATGAGGTTTGTTTTGGGGCAGGCAGGGTAGAAATAGAAAGCTAAAGTTATTCAAAGGAGAAGCACGTAGAAAATGTTGTTATGGGGCTGCTGAGTCTTCAACCCTGGGACATAAACAGTGACAAGGATTAGCCCAAAAGCTTTCAAACTCCTTCAAGTTCCCCTGAAATCCTGCCCTTGCCTGGAGACACAGGTCACAAAGCCAAGAACCCAGGGCAGGGGAATAGGGGTACTTTGCCCATGGGTGAAGGTGAGGGCTCTGCCCAGGCTGGTGGGGGACTTTGTCAGCGTCCCCCTGGGACACAGCTCACCCGTGGGGGCTGCACTATCCCAGCCCTGGCACTGAAGGACCTTGGAGCACAGGAAGGATTATTATTCCATCCCTGTTACTTCCTGTAGCCTTTTCTCCTCTTTCCGTAGGTCCACAAGTGGATGCAAGCTCTGGGGAGTGGGATGATCCATTTGGGAGATGCTGGTGACTTCTCCTGGGGTACAGGTGAGGTGCTCTGGGGGCCAAAGGACTGTCCCTCAGGTGAGCCCTGACTGAGCCCAGGTCCCTCTATCTCACTCACAAACTGACCCCACCAAGTCCCAACGTGTGGCTGCACACCCCTGCATGGTTCCCATAGGATGCAGGAAGCCTGGGGCTATGGAGGGATGGGGATGCTGTGGCTGTGGAGGTGGTGGGGGGATGCAGGAGAAGCCATGGAGGTTGTGGAAAGATGCAGGGTCCCACAGGGGGAGGCTGCAGGGCCATGAAGGGATGCAGGAGAGGCTGTGGAGCTGCGGCACAATCAGTGAGCAGCGCCAAAGCTCCCCGAGCCCTCCCCCTCTCCCAGGGGATGCGGGTGCCAGGCACAGCCCGTGCTAGCTGGGGCAGCCAGACAATATCCCCTTTGAAGGGCACAAACCCATCTGGGGTGGAAAAACCCTCAACGTTATGGGGGACAGGACCTGCACTTCAGAGAAACACTGCTGAGCACCCCGACCTCCAAACAGCCCCACACAGGAAGTGGTTTCACAGCTTTGAATAACTCAAGAGGCCAGTAAACAGCAGTGCATGAGCATGGCTGCTCACGGGCAGCTGCAGAGTCACACCTCACTGTGGGACTGAGGCTCACACCTCCCCACAGTGACACAGCCCTGCCAGGACCCTGCAGAGGGGGGCCAGCACTGGGCAGGGAGTCCAGGGGGCCATCAGTCCCCATCCCTAGAGGGGTTTAACAGATGTGTGAATGTGGCACTTGGGGACTTGCATTAGTGTGGCTCTGGTAATGCTTGGAGGATGGTTGGACTCAATGACCTCAGAGGGCTTTTCCAGCTTAAATGATTCCATGATTATATGATTAGGGATGTCCTCCAGCTGTGGCAATAGCCCTGACACAAGTTTGAACGTTATCCCTGTTCTCGGGGAGGTTGTGGTTCTAACCTGTGGGGATCAGCCAGACATCCCGTGCCCCCTGAGACCATCTCCACCCATCCCACCCAAAAAAGCCCAGAACACTGCACAGCAGGAGCACCAATGAAAATGAAAACTATTTGTGTCTTGTTTATTTTTGCTTGACTATAACAAGCAGGAAAGGCCCACTGAGTTCATTAAAAGTGGGTTTGGTATTCATAGAATCGTAGAATCAAAGAGTG